CTTTTCTCTTAAACTTCAATTTGAAGTTATTAAGATAGTACAAACAAAAACAGGTCCTAAAATCTTTTAAAAGGATTATAGACTTATTGAATCTTTTGCTGCAAAAACGCAACTTAAACAGTTCAGGTTCCCCAGTCTGGCCATTTGCCATAGGATATTTTTTGTGTTTCTCTTCTGTAGAATTTCATTTCAAAATAATTGCAGTAGGAAGCAGATAATTTTAAGGTTTTGTTTTGTAAAAAGTGTTCTCTATTTGAATGTTGGTAAATTAGAACCCATCTAGAAAAACCTGGTCTTCCTCCTACTGTAGCAAGTACATATGAAGATATTTAGGAAATCTAGCAAATCTACAGAAATGACATTAAGCAAATGCTCTGACACCTTAACATGCACTGTCAATTTTTGTGAGGCACCAGAGCAATTCTCTACTTCATTCTATGATATTGTCATTGATGCTCACTCATTGCACTTTTAGAGAATGATTTTTTAAATCTATATATTCAAAGTATTTTATTAGCCATTCTTTTATGTCAAACTTAGTTCTTGCTAATGTACAGATGCAAACAGTGAGGAACAAAAACCGTTGAGGGTACAGATGCAAACAGCGAGGAACAAAAACCGTTGAGGGGAAATACGGGAATCAGGTATGCATGTTGAGATTTTTGTCAGAGTAAACGGAGGACTAGAAGGAAGCCATGAAGTTAGTGAGAAACATAATTACGTTCCCAAGGGAGAAACTTGGCTTCCTGCCAATTTTACTCTCTGGCAGGAAAAGGGGCCCACTTCATCAGGTCCTTTGACAAGCATTTTTCTCTGTTTGAAATTTTTGGCCCCATCAATACTCAGTGAAAAATTAGTTCTTTTAAGTAGTCATTACTTTCAATGAGAAAGATTTAGTTTTAAAGTAGAGTTCACATTATAAGTAAAATAAGAATCATCAAATTACAAGATTGTTTGGTGAGGGAACCCTGACATTATTATCACAAGGTAACGAAGGTTGATTTAGAATTAGAGCTTGAATATCCCTAGCAACTGAGAAGACATTCTTTTTGGTGTTACTAACATTTGACACTGAAGTAGGGGGGGGAACTGTTACTTTTTAATATTGTGCAGGCTGATAATTATTTTGTCAAGGTCTTTAGAAGTGGCAAAGGAAGAATAAATCCTCACGTTTCAGTGTTAAGAAAGATATCAAAGGAATATAGATGTTTGAAGATAAAAATTTATATTTATAATGTCCTGCTTTTTCTTTTTTTTAAGTGGAAAGTGGTAGATATGAATTGTTTAAATGCATTACAGTAATCTAAGCCAACATTTTTAAAAGTATTTTCATTCTAAAGACTGCAAGATGCTCTAAGAATAAAAAGAAATCCATCTGGAAATGTCATATACCATATCCCTCTCTCGAAGTTTAAATGACACATGTTATCATATTAAAGACTTGAAGAAATTCTGTGGTAAAGAAATGTCTTTGACTTTGTTGAACTCTGTAGTTCCCAAACTGAACCACAGGTTCTTCTTTTTTTGGAACTAGTGTTTTACAGCACACACTTAAAGCAACACAGTACCGATTAATTAAAAACGTAGTTAGAGTTTGAAACCATATATCTTTTTCACTTATTGTTTCTGGTTAAAGTTAATTGGAGCTTCTGGAGTACTACTAGGTTGGTTCTAAAAAGTACATATAGAGTGATAAAGAACAGTTATTAGGCCATGATCTGAGTCAACAGTCCTAAGAGGCCTAAAGAAACATTTGGTATTTTGCCTGAACTAGATCCTTTTCCTTAGAAAACGTTGAAAAATTAAATAAAGAAATAAAGCCATCCACCACATAAGCTGAAGTCTTAGTTTTAGTTCCGTTAGCAATAAGACATGATGACATTAGGCTATTCTAACCCCCTTCTAAAAGCGGTTGCCACCACTTTGGTCTTTCTGAAAGCAATCTCTTGGTTAATTTCCCTCTGGTAGTTTAACTTCTGACAGGTCAGGAGAAGAAAAAGCAATCATTCTACTTAGGAAGCACAATATCATCACTAGAGATTGATTTCTGTCTTTCCCACCCTGTTTTTAAATTTTCTGATTCTTTCAGTTTAGGAAAATGTGATATAAAACAATTCAACTTATGATTCAGATAAACTGCCTGGTGATTGTTTGCATCACTTAGAATAATCATTTGCTTTAGAAAAAGATTTTTTACAGGACTTCTCTCGGTAGGGCAATTTTCTTAGTGCCTGTGAAGCACAAGTTAAATTTTGAAAATTGCAGCTCTGTATAATTTGTGAGGCACAGATTTATTGTGGAATGTACAGCAAAACCCATATTTTTCTTCAATTTAATTCACTTTCCTCATACTCAGTTTTTAAGCTTTACAGATTTTATCACCAACCAATTTTTCTGTACTTATGGTTTATGTCTGCCAAGGTACAGTTGTATCTACAATATTATTTACAGTTTCATTCTCATGTGGTCGCTGCTTCTTATAAGTAAATGTCTTCTCTTGCTCTTGGCAAGTTCCCAGAAGGTGGGCCATGCACGTACCCTCCCTGTCCATTACTCCTCAGAGATTAACACAGTGTTGCTTGGTACAGCCGTGTCTCAGTCAATTCTCTTGATTGCTGATGATGTTGAATCAGAATGTACATTGCCTTCCATGGACTGAAGAATGTCAGATCATGGTTGGATCTCCATAGATGTTTCTAGAGAATATTCTCCAACCATGACCCGTTTTTCAGGATGTCAACATGATGTCACCTGGCTCACACAAATCCTAAAAAGTTAACAATCAGCTCTCCCAACCAGTATGCATTGGCTCTGGTATAGCATTATACAAGCTGTCTTTAAGAATGAGTTTGAAAACTTACCATGGAGCAATACAAAGAGAATGATTGTTAACATTTGCTAAACTCAATCCCGAGATCATAGAAAAAATTCTTGATAAAATATGCCAGCAACCTAGTTCTTGATAGGGGAGTAAGTAGAAACAAAAGTAACTGCCATGAAGTAACACCTCTACTTCTAGAGAAAAAGGGAACACACACACACACACACCTACCACCACTCCTCCACCACACTAAACACAGGAGAGAGCATCGCCTTGTACAACTTGTAGAGAAACTCAGTAAGAGCAAGGGCAAACATAACAGGCTTTGGTCTTCAACTATTTCAGTGTTTCCTGTTTTACTTTAGGGAGTCATTTCTTCTGATGGTAATCATCAATTTATTGTACAGGTCGAAGGGGACCAGCTGCCTCCAGGACACACAGTCAGTCAGTATGAGACCTGTAAGATCAGGACCATAAAAGCTGGCACCTTGGAGAAGCTTGTGGAGAACCTGTTGACAGCTTTTGGGGACAATGACTTTACCTATATCAGCATCTTCCTGTCAACGTACAGAGGCTTTGCCTCCACTAAAGAAGTTCTGGAACTGCTGCTGGACAGGTAAGAATCTAAAGGAATTTGAGAGTTGCTAGAAATGTAAGTCTTTTACAGAGTGAAGGCATGAGGTTCTGAATCACCTGCACTCACTGTGCTGAGAGAGATGTGTGAGGAAAGGTTAACTTAGAAGAAATGACCTTTGGAACGAATGGCATGAAGATTATTCAGAAGCCACTTATGGTCTATTTCTGGGGGGGAAAATCTCATAAAAATCTATAAAAGAGTTAAAAGTAGATGGCATAAATCTAGATTCAATTGTTTATAGATTTCAGTTACTATTTGCCACCCTAAATTTCTCCATATTTTTATAATTTTATATAATTCCAGCAAATAATCAATTGACCAGGAATCTTATTAGGTGGTTGTGGAGTTTAAATGTGCTGATATGTGTGAAGTATGAAGCTCAGTCTTAGACCCATAAGAAGCAGCTAATGAATGGTGGCGATGATGGTGATGATGATGATGATAACAGCTATTAGCAATCACCATGTCTTGTCTGCTTTATGGACATGCACATAACATCATCCTTGATCCATGTTGTTAAGGCAAATATTACATATAGTAGAGCAGTGTACATTGTAATTCACACATTGATAGTTTTTATATTTTACCCCTTATTTTTGTTTTATTTATAATTAAGCTTGGTCTTTTTAAAAAATACCTTTAAGTTAACTGGATGTTGGGAGGAAGAAAACTGTCAGCCAAACATTTGTTTTAAAATCGTGAGAATCCTCATTCAAATCCTTATATTCTGGGGTTTCCTGCATAAGGAAGGAAATGAGATAGGGTGTTTTTGTTGGGCTGTTGAATATTGATTTTTAACTAGATTTTTTTTATTTTTAAAGTATTCTGTACTCATGTTAAAAGTTCTTGTACTATAGAAGGATATAAAAAGAAATATTAAAGGTTTCTCATATTGCTTTTTTCCCAAATAATATTTATTAGGTTTAAAAATATGATATTTGTAGAAAGAAGAAAATTAAACAGACCATAATCTAACTAGGCTGATAATGCATATTAATATTTTAAAGATAGAAGCAATCCATGTATATGATGAAAAGTTCAAATAATCCAGAAAATTATAAAAATAAAAAGTAAGAAATTTCTGTTTCTCTTAGTTCCCCAGTCCCATTCCTCCTAGGTAATCACTGTAAACCATTCTTTTTATATTTTTCCCAAATTTTGAGGGCATATATAAATGTATGTATGTATGTATGCACACATACATACACATAATATATAATATATATCATACATATGATTGTTTATATACATTCTATGTCGTATATACTTATATGTTATACAAACAGAATCACAGTACAATCTGTTCTGCAGTTTCTGTTTTTTACTTATCTATATATCCTGGAAATTTTTTTATTCATTAAGTGAATTAACATATGTAAAAGGCTTAGAATAGTGGCTGGAATACTAAAAGCTCAAGAAATATAAGTTATTATTAATATTTCAAAATTAGTACATATAGATGGATCCACCATAATCTTTTTAATAGCTTTATAGTGTTCATTGAATGGGTTATTCTAAGGGTAGACATTCAAGCTCTCTCCAGTTTTTAAATTTGTTTTTAAATACCATAACCTTTTTAATAGCTTTATAGTGTTCATTGAATGGGTTATTCTAAGGGTAGACATTCAAGCTCTCTCCAGTTTTTAAATTTATTTTTAAAATTTTGTAAACAGTGCTGCAAGGAGTGTCTTTGAATATGTATCATCTGAGTACTTGTTTGAGAATTCTATAGTATACTTTCATAGAAGAGTGACAAATGGGTCAAAATATGTCAACATTTAAAGATTTGAAAGATATTGTCAGATTGCTTTTGGGATGGTTGCACCAGTGACACAGAGAATAAGGCCCACTCTCTCACTTTCCTCTCATCCTTGCCAACCATGGATATTTCCATTGAAACCATCTTTACCGTGATATGACCATCAAGAAATGGTAGCTCATCGTTTTTGAATTTATCCTTATTACATTTATGAGTGAGCTTCAGTATCTTATAAACCTCACTTATGGTTTCTTTTTTGTGACCTATCCATATCCTTTGCCTATTTTTCTTTTGGACTATTTTCATCTAATTATTGATCATCTAAACATAATTCTTTGTATAATAAGGAAATTACATTTTTGCTTATCAAATGCTGGAAATATTTTTTCCTAATTTGTTCATTGGTTTTAAAAGTTGTTTATTAATACTGTATTCTTTTTATGAAGGCATTAAAATTTTTTATGTTGCCATATCTATCAGTCTTAAAAAAGACCTTTAATAATAGAGTTTTATTCCAATGTAAGTAAGGTTATTGATAACAGTGGGTTTTTCCTCAAAGTAGTTTCCCCGTAGATGCATATAGAGTGAAATTATTTGGATCAATGGTTATTCATATGTTTATATTCAGGAAAATTCACAAAATGTCCATTTTTTACATATATTGATCTGGTTATGCAACCCTCAGTGTTGCTCCCGTACCACGCGACTGGCAACGCTATCGCAACCCTCAGTGTCACGCCCGCACCGCGCTCAACCAGTAAGCGGACCGGTCTCTATATGGGATCCGAACCCATGGCGGGAGCGCCACCGCGCTCCCAAGTGCCGCACTCTACCGAGTGCGCCACCGGGCCGGCCCGTTCATTGGTTTTAAAAGTTGTTTATTAATACTGTATTCTTTTTATGAAGGCATTAAATTTTTTTTGTGTTGCTATATCTATCAGTCTTAAAAAAGACCTTTAATAATAGAGTTTTATTCCAATGTAAGTAAGGTTATTGATAACAATGGGTTTTTCCTCAAAGTAGTTTCCCCTTAGATGCATATAAAGTGAAATTATTTGGATCAATGGTTATTCATATGTTTATATTCAGGAAAATTCAGAAAATGTCCATTTTTTACATATATTGATCTGGTTATTATACCCTGAACTACAACATAGATAGTAAGTTCTATAGAGTTTTGCATAGCAGTGCTTGACGAACTATTAAGCCTGGTGTATAAACTTGTAGGATTCATGAGTCATTTCTTACATTGTTTGTATAATAGCTCATACCTGTAAAGTAGAAATTGAAGAGTTATATGAATTTTCTCTTTTTGTATTTCATATTTATAAAAAGATGTAGTATTTTAACTGTTGGCAAGTAATATGAGGAAATTGCTCAAAACATAAAAAAACTCCAAGTTTACTTTGGAATTGGTAACCTCTTCTACTCATGGGGCGACTCCGTTGATAATAGGCCACAGATGTCCACAGTCAGTAAAGGAGTGCACGTAAATTCCAGCTGTTCATCCTAAGTAGTGGATATACACGCAGGAAATAGACTGTTTAGTCTGTGACTCGTGTACATCCAGCTTTTATTTGATGGTTTTTTAAAAAAAAATCTTCTCTTTGTTCTCCTATTATAGTGGATAGATATTTTCAGATTTTTAAAACACTAACTGGATGGCAATTATTAAATAACAGAATCAACATGAATTCAAATTGCATTTAATTCAAATCATCATTTAAGGTATAACTGAATGAAGAGTTAATTATTTTGTACCGTTTGGATGGGCCAGGGCTTGGCCTTGAATTTAATCTCATAGTCAGATCCTTTGCTTGCTTCTGAAATGGAGTCAGCAAGTACTGAATGCCTATAAAGTACTCTGTGTTCTGCAAGACACCATGCAGATGGAACTCAGAAATATAAGACTTCGTTCTTGCCTTGAGATAGTTCAAAGGTGGACTTACTGTGAGGCTGCTGGTACTTAACCTCCAGGACCCCTCACTTGCAATACTCTCTACAGAATTTTATACTGAATTCTTTTTCTACAAGTTGACCCTCAGATTACATATGTCCTCAAAGTCATATCCATGAAACCTGGATCCACCCCTCAGTACTTAATATTTTACTGCAAGAGGTGAGACTTGCATCTGTGAAACAATTAGATAATCACTTAAGATGATGTAAAATGAAGCTCTTAACATGCCTGCAGGTAAAACAGTGTATAGAAGTGCAGAGAAATAAATCCCATTTATTTTTGCTTTCTCTGCAGAAATTTGGTTTTGTCCACATATGTACAAACCTCAACATTACTAGTTCTTCCTCATCCCGTTTTCTGCTCACACATAGATCTTGTGACCAGTCTTCACTCTTGATTAAATTTAACTAAAATGCACATTCTGTGAAACATTGGGTTCTTAAACTGGTTGTTGGGACTTTTCATGTCTATAATTAGGAGGAAGCAATTTTATTGTACAAACTTACTTATTCTGAAGATAGCATTTAAAATATTATTTCCTTGCCAGTGGATTGTGGTAGACTTGTGGATCTCTGATACATTTTTTAGAATTATTTCTTTTGGTTTCTTAATAGTAGATTGCTTATCTTTTGTGAAATTAATACCGAGAAGTTATTATAGCATGTACTAATCCTATAATAATCAGTCAAGTACGGATTGAAGGCAGATGCTGCTGTATTTATTTCCCACCAGAGAGAAGCTTATTTGAAGTCAAACTCTGATTTCCTTTAAGGCTTCTGATCACATGGCTTTTCTCATAAGAAATCACTTTCTGGGATTTCTTTTTTCTTTTAATTTATGTTTTTATAGTTTTTCCATTCTGCTAATATGAGCCTTTGTGATTGACCAATAGACAGTGGTTTGAATTGAAGTCATGTATGGCTAATTCCATGTGTTTGCTTTATTCCTTACTTGGGGTGATCAGCATTTCACAATGACTCCTGTGTCCTGTGCTTCTCACCATGGCTCAGAGTTAATTCTTGACCTCATTGGCTTTCTTTTAACCCAAGAAGAAGTTCTTGAATTGTAGGTTAGCTACTTCTTTGGGGCTTTCAGATTTTATTTTCTCTGACTTCAAACATAAACTCTACTTAAAAATTTATTCTTCCCACCATAGCACTTAAAAAAGTATGGGAGTTAGATACTACTGAAAATGCCCAACTGCAGATGTAGGGAGACATCTACTTCAGCTAACGATCCTCACTGAGAACCAGGAAATGT